AAGACGACGACGACGAGGAAAGACAGAGGGCAACGACGGCGACGACGACGACGACGACGACGACGAGGGAGGAGGGAGGACGGCGACGACGACGACGACGACGCAAGAGCGCGCGCGAGCGCTTTTCGTTGAAAATCCGCGTTGCGAAACCCTGTGTTTTGGTATGGTGTTTTGGACATTCGATTTTGATACCCTTCCGAAACCGAGGTTTTTTGAAGGATTTCGGCATGCGCGCGCGACGACGCGCGCGTGCGCACTTCGTGCTTTTTCTTGTTTTGCGGAGGATTCCGCAAGGGCGCTCGAAAGGTTTCCACATGCGCGCGCGCGAAGCCCGTTTGGTAGTACTTCTTGAAATATTGAAAACCTATTGTTCCCTCAAGATTTCGCAAGAACGCGCGCGAGAAAGTTTGTTAGCAAATCAGCGTTGCGAAACCCAGTGTTTTTGTGGGTATATTTTTGGGGGGGGACTCGATTTTGAAATCTTTCCGGCATCGAGTGTTTTTGACAGAGTTCGGCATGCGCGCGCGTCGACGCGCGCGTGTGCATGTCGTCCAGTTGTTTGCAATGGATTCATGGAAACTTTTGATTTTTGATAAACGAGTACGCGCGCATAGTATTTGTTGCAGAGGATGGCGGGGGGGGGATCGATGCCGGCTTGGCTGGGATAGTATCGGTTCTTATTTAGGATGGACGAGTTCGCAGAACTTTGAAATCGCAGTACCCCACGGGGGATTGTCAATAGTTAATTCCGGGGGGTGGTAGAGTTTATTCCTTGCTTTCAAAGGAGAATTTGTGAGATGCACGTAGTTTTCTGTTCGCAGTGAGCTGCCAGTTGTCCACTCCACTTGCTCGAGCAACCATCCCACCCACCTACCCGCAGCTTGGTTTGCAAAACCCATGCGAAGGCGATTGCCAAAAGTTCTTGGAGTTGGCTGGTGCATGTTTGCGGCCGCGCTCGCCCGCGCATGTTCGCGCGCGCAGCAGCCAGACAATTCGGCGCTACCGACGCGGCCGCAGTGGCGCTGACCGCTGGGCACGTCAGTGCGCGTCGGCGACTCGTGCGGGCGCGGTAGCTTGGCAACGTCGACAACGGTAGACGCGATGATGATGGTAACGATGCTGGTGGCGACGCGGACAACGACGACGGCAAAACCAGTGACGGTGCAGATGTTGACCACGCCGACGATGACGACGCTTTCGCGTCGGTGATGCAGGTTTCGGAGGAACTTCGACATGCGCGCGCAGCCGACGCGCGACAGTGGCCCGCATGGTGCTATGTGAAAACGGATTATACCCCCGCCCAAACACGTGCGCGAGGGCGTTCGAATGACTACTTCGTGCGGCGCGAGGGGCTCGTTTGGCCAAACCTATTGCAACTGTTCAAGGCACGATGTTTATTCAGCATGCGCAGGAACGCGAGCGCAGGCATTTTTGCAAACTGGCATTGGAATAACATGTGTTTAAACATCTTTTCGGGACACTCGATTTGGACATCTGTTCGACACTGGAGGTTTGCCCCAACGGATGTCCGCATGCGCGCGCGACGACGCGCGCGTGTGCATTGCGTCCAGTCGTTTGCAGCGTTTTTTTGGCGACACCACATGCCGTGGGGCGTTCACACGATTCCGACATGCGCGCGCGAAAGACCAGGCTGGTAGCACATTGTGAACATGCTGAACAACAAACCGTGTTTCTTCCAATCATCCGCGCGAGCCCGAACGCAAGTTTGCTGTACACATGATGCTAAACCCTGGGTTGTTATACGTTTCGGGACACTCAATTTTGACTTCGCTACGCAACCTAAGGTTTGCAAAATGATTCCCGCACGCGCGCGCTACAACGTTCGTGCGCACATCGTCCCATTGTTCACATTTTTGTTCGTAAGTCTATGATTTTGGGTAAACGAGTGTGCGCGCATATGGTTTTCTGTTGAAGCTGAGTGGGGGGTACCGATACCGGCCTGCTTGGGATGGCCCGGGCTCATATTCATGATGGGCGATGGGGCAACACTGTATGTAAATTGCAATACGAAAATGGGTACCGTTACTTTTTGGGGGTTGGTCGATCCTAACACTTTGTCAGAAACGGAGAAACTATGCAGTGCAATCCTTGTGGTGCGGTGTAGCCCGTGCAAGTCACGCTGTGCAATCTGAGGCGGCGACGACGAAGCGGCGACGGAGCGGCGACGGCGGCCATGAAACAGCGGGTGTCGCGATTGTTGCTGAACGCCCGAAACAGCGGCGGCGGACGGCGGCGGCGGCGAGGATGCGCTTGGGAGGTTAAATTCAGGATCGGCGGTTTTATATCCGCGGTCGAAAGCTGGCCAGGTCTGGAACGGTTCAGTTTGATGTTGGGCCTCATTTGGTATGTCCTTGTCGTCGGGCTTGGTTCAGTAACCATTAGGTACAAGGGCGCCCTCGAGTACGCGAAGTTATTCGCGCTTCGCGGTTCGGCTCCGATTCCTCCTCTTCTTCCTCTTCTCCCCTGGGAGGCTGCGCGACAGCGCGAAGTTATTTGCATTTCGCGTTTCGCGCAGCTCGAAACGCGAAGCTGGGAGCCCTTGAGGTATGTTTTTTTGTCCGAAGATTTCCCAGGAGATGCGCCAGGGCATCCGCGGCGGCGACCGCCCCGACGGCGGCAACGGCGACGGCGATGTCGGGGAGCGCCCAGCGCCCCCGGAGGACCTGCAGGCGATGTCGGCGGAGCTGCTGGGCCAGCTCGAGGTTCGGCCAGCGCAGCAAGAATGGCCCTTTTTTCAAGCAGTGGCGAAGCGGCGAAGCGTCCCGGCGTCCCTATAGGTCTACCAAACAATATTCTAAGAACCTTTCCTGGTTTCCACGAAATGTTCTTAGAACAATTCTGGCTGGGGCTGTCTGTACCGATTCCGTTGCCTTTCCCTTGTTTGCGCCTCGTTGGGCCTCCTGGGCGGTCCTCGTGGCTGCTGCTTGATTCGCTTCGAGATTCTGGTCAGAATGCACCCCAGGGGAGGTCCGGGGCGTAGCTGTATGAGTTGTTTTTCTGGTTCCCCGATTTTCGAGGTCGGCCAAGAGACTGGTGATGATTTGGGGGGGAGATCTCTCAAATGGGAGCAGAGAAGGATCGCGCCGCATGGCCGATGCTTCGGTGATACGCCCCGATGTGGATCCCGAGCCTAGCCACGCCGACGTCGCTGATGCATCGCCGACGTCGCCGATGCATCGCCGAAGCATCGGCGATGCATCGGGAACTCGACGCGACCATCCGCCGCCCTTTTGCAAGCACTCCATCTGAGAGGCCTCTCATATCATGGCCGTGCCGATGATCCTCCGAAAGCGTGCTAGCCCAATGTGTGTTGTCCTCCCTCAGCTCCGCCGGTAACTCGCAGCTCTTGACAGTCATCAGCGCGCGGAAGCAAGTGTTGCGGGGCTTGTCGGGGTCCCGCAGAATCGTCTTTTCGATGCGGCTTGCCTCTTGCCCTTGCTCAAACATTGACCCTCACCTCCTGTTCACGTCCTTGTCCTCTTAGTTCTTCCGCCTCCTTAATCCCCTCTCTCCTCTTCCCCGCTTCTGCCCCTCGCCAGTACTCCGCCGACAGCTGGTGCACATTACCGACGCAATCATCCGTTACTGAAGTAACCCTTTTTCCATCAGTAAGGGTGGTTGTTGACGTAGACATAGAATCGTGTTCTCGGTCGTTCAGAGAAGCCGACGTAACTTTCCGTTGCCGACGTAACGTTTCCGTCAGTGACGGAGTCCCCCTGTCAGTAACGTAAACGTTCCGTCGGTTCCGTCAGTTCCGTCAGTTATTTGCGCGGCCTGTGGCAGAGTTTGGTTCCCGCGACGCACGAGGGACACGCGTTCCTCCAGCCCATCTGATCTGAGTCAGCCGCAAAGTCCGCATTTCACTTCGCGTGCGGCACCTGCGATCCACCAGCGTGCCGAGACTCGGTTGCGCGCGAAGCTGTGCGTTTACACAACGTTCAACTTACCGAAGGGCTTCGGTGGACAAACACACGCTAACTCAGCACACGTTCTGAGAATCATCGACCTGGGCCATGGCGTACCCCCGGATGTCATTTCGATGTGCCCCCCCCCCCCCCCCTCGCCTGGGCCGCGCACGTGTCTCGGGCCATAATTTGCGGCACCCGCTCTTGGACGCCCCCGACTCTCCTTTCCCAGATCTCCGACGACATGTTTTTTTCGTTCCACCCCGACGCCGTTCCTTTGGTACTGGGCGTCCCCGCGGAGGGCGTCGGGGCCTGGACCTGTTTGGAAAAAGCGCACTGCTGGATGTGCGGGTCGTCTTGGCTCCTCCCTCCCGATTCCCACCGTCCTGTCTTCTCCATCCTCCATTCTCCCCTCCTCGTCCATTCCGCCTCACTCGTCTTCCTACTCTTAACTCCCCCCTCCTCACCCCTCCCTTCATCCCTCCTTCATCTCCTTGCCCCCCCCCCCCCCCCTGTGCCCCATCCTGCCCTACCTTCGCAACAGCAAATCGTCGCAGCATCGCCATCCCCAGCGCCTCCGTTAGTACCTCACGGGGCCGCCTTGGTCCCGTCCTCGTCCTCGTCCGCTCTCTCTCTCTTTGCCCCGTCCCCCGTGCTCGTGGGGCGTCCTCACCGACACTGGTCAAACAGAGCTCAGGAGGGGAACCAAGACACAGACACAAAACGAATCGTCGACGCCCAGGAAGAGTAGGAAGATGTAGGAAGTGGTGGGGGGGGGGGGGCGGACGCACAATCCAGGAGATGTAAGAGAATGTAGGGAATCCGGGGGCTTGTGCACGTGCGTGTTTTATTTGTGTGTGTCTCTTTGGGCCCTTCTCAACACTGGGCAGACAGAGGGAACCCCGAGCTCCGATCCGACGTGGCGGAGCAAGGCACACGTCGCGAGAAGTCACGACCGGAGCCCTCCTAGACCCACTTTCCCGTCGCGTCGTTCTTCGAGCCGCGGGGATGTGCAGCACGGTCCCGGGGCCCAGCGCTGGGCGAAGACCCGGAGTGTGTGAATAAAAGCGCCAACGCCCAGACCTCGGGGAAGAGGAGGAGGAGGAGGAGGAGGAGGAGGAGGAGGAGGAGGAGGAGGAGGAGGAGGAGTGTATGAACAAAAGTGCCAACACCCAAACTTCGGGGAAGAGGAGGCGGACGAGGAGGAGAGGAGGAGGAGGAGGAGGAGGACGAGGAGGAGGAGGAGGAGGAGGAGGAGGGGGAGGAGGATGAGGAGGAGGAATCATAACCGTGAGAGCGGCACCGTGAGGCGCCCCTGCCTCGGGGGTGGCGGCACCGTGGGAGCGGCTCCCGCCGGCTCCCGCTGGCCTTCCGCCGGTGGGGGCGGCCTCGCTCTGAGGAGGAGGAAGAGGAGGGGGAGGAGGAGGGGGAGGAGGAGGAGGAGGAGGAGGAGGAGGAGGAGGAGGAGGAGGAGGCGCCGAATTCTTCAGGTTTTGGTGTAGTGTAGGCCCCACACGAAGTGTCATGGTTGAGGGTTCTTGGGCGCAGCATTCTGAAGCAAGGGAAGCCACTGGAAGCCGGCGGAACTACAAGTTGCCTCCCTCAAATATTGTGTTTGTTGTTGCATGTGGAGCTTCCGGAAGCGGCCATGGGTATTGATTAGGCCCCCGGGGCCCAGGACACCGGCTTACCAGGACATTGGCATGTCGGCCAAACTTTAAGTTCACCCGCAAAGTAAGATTTGGCCATCCAGTGCAGGATTCTTGGGCTGCGCTACAAGATCCGGATGTTGTCCAGATTTACGTAGGGGTCTGTTGCAAGAAATTAGGGCCCACGTCCGGGTTTATTCTGGGTATGTTGCAGTCATTGTTCTGTTCGTGCCGCCGTCTTGAACACAATGGTTACGAGGCATGTTGGATGTCCTGGTCCAGCTTGTTCGGTAGTACCGGCATTTGAAACTATCCCGATCACTTCACCGATTGCGCGCAGCCTGTGCCGGCCCTCCTTACATCGGCAGCGTCTTGTCCAAGGGCTTCGGTGGGCAATGGCGTCACTGCACGTTCTGATGTGCGACCACTTGCGGACCCTACCCCTGGCGGTCCACTCTTTGCAGGGGTCTTGGACACCCCCGCTGGGGTTCACTTGGCTGCAGACATCTTTGGGTTTCTGAGCCTGGGCCGAGTCTTCAGAAATCTAACCTGGAGGTGTCGATCTGAGAATTGCCGGAGGGGGCAAGGGTTCCTTCAGCACGGGCCTACGCGTGTGGCGTTGCCCCCCCCCCCCCCCCCGCGCACCGAGATCCACAGTCGCCTGGAGAGTTGCCCCCTGCGTGCCGTTGCCGAGAGGCCGCCAAGGCAGCGCTCAACGAGAAGATCTCGGGCGTCGACCGCAGGCTCGCTGACGAGGTCCAGCGGTTTGGCACGTCCGTGAAGACCCTTGAGGCCCAGCGGTTGCCGCGGCTCGGTCGGTTCTGCAGTCGGTAACGCTTGGTCGAGTCGGCTCGCTCGGTTGTCGTGCCGCTGCTGCGTCGCTGCGAAGGAGGAGGAGGAGGAGGAGGAGGAGGAGGAGGAAGGGAGGAGGAGGAGGATGGGGAGGAGGAGCGGATCCCCATTCAAGAGCAGTTTGGCCAGTTCGACGGACAACTTTGTGAGAGGAAGCCCCGACCCGACCCCCCTCCCCGTCATGAGTTCGTGTGGTGGAGCTCGACGAGTAAATGGCGGTGCAGGCGCTGCTCGAGAGGTCGGGGGTTGAGAGTTCGGGGCCGTGCAGAGGAGTGAACGACTCGCTCCGTATGTTCGCAGAAAGAGAGAGAGAGAGAGAGAGAGAGAGAGAAAAAAAAGAGAGAGAGAGAGAGAGAGACGATTTTCAGGGCCATGCTCTCTTCCTTTCTTGGGTTGAAGGACCCGAGATGCTTGCAATTTGGTCAGCAGGTGCGGAGGTTGTGCCTCCACGAAGGTCGGCCAGTGGCTCTCAGGACCCTGCAGGCCAGCCAAGCAGCTCGCAGAGCTGCGGAAGCTGCGCCAAAGAGTGCTGCCAGGGGCGGGCGTTCGTCTGGGACCGCCCCGAGCCTCTCTCTGGTGCGTCGCTCTTTCTTCCTTTACCCTAGCATGCATTCATGTGTGATCTGGGTTGCAGCTGGAACACTGGAGCACGGGGAGGAGGAGGAGGAGGAGGAGGAGGAGGAGGAAAAGGAGGAGGAGGAAAAGGAGGAGGAAGAAGGAGGGGAAAAGGAGGACGCGAGGGGGGGTAGGAGGAGAGGAGGCGGCGGAGGAGGAGGAGGAGGAGGAGGAGGAGGAAGAGGAAAAGGAGGAGGTGGAGGGTGAGGAGGAGGAGGAAGAGGAGGAGGGGGAGGAGGAGGAGGACCCTCCTGGGCTGCCTGCGGCCTCTCGGCGTCGGTCGGTTTTGGTTTCGTGGTCGGCTCGGCCGGTCGTCCGGCTCCGTTGCCGCAGCGTGCGGCCTCGAGGCCGTGGCGGCGCGCCTGCAGAGCGCCGACGAGGAGCTCGGCAGAGGCCCCGGGCGACGAGATCCGCACGCGCGGCGCACCGGCCCAGACCATGCCTTAAGTCGGGTTCGTCCCTCTACAGGGGGGATATTCAAGAATAGTCCACAAGTAGTCCAGGGACTTTTTTTTTTTGGAGTATTTTTGTTGACCCTGTTGGGGTATTTGTGTGAGTATTGGTCATTGTTCGTCGGAAACCCCCGGACACGCCCGATTTGAGCCATGCCCATCCTCGGCCCGGGCTCGGCGTCGCTGGGTCGCGCCACGGGGCGCGAAGCTGCCCACCGGTGCGAGCGCCCCGGCTCGGGCCGCCGACCGGGTCTTCCCCAGGGGCGGCGCGGGGCGCGAGGGAGGCGCGCCCCGTGGCGCGCGAGGCGCGAGGGGGGAGGGCTGATGGGCTCGGTGCATATATCAGGAGGGGGAAGAAACACACAGACACAATTAATTAATCGTCGACCCCCCAGCAAGTGTGGGAAGATGTGGGGGGAAGACAAGAACTCAGAAACCATGGGAACATATTGGGAGTTTGGCTATTCGTGTCTATTTATTTGTGTGTCCCGGTTCCCCTTCCGGGAAGCGCGCCCCGTGGCGCGCGGGGCGCGAGGGGCGAAGTCTGATGGGCTCGGTGCATATCTTCGGCATCGCAGCAGCAAGTTACGGCGATGTGCGCGTCGGTCCCCCCCACGCTCGGCATCGCTCGGACGTGTGCATTTTTTCTCGGCGAGAACCATCGAGGACCATCCTGGACCATCCTGGACCATCGAGCAAAAAAAACACGCACGAAACCAACAAATGCACAAGAAATGGACGTCCGAGCGACGGCAAGCCATGGGGCGACGCCCGCCGCGAGGAATCTTATGATTATGGTGTGTGCGACGTCGCGGGCGCTTTCTGGCCACGCCGCTCGGGAAGCGAACTCCTGCACGACGGGTATACCACATCTTCGGGTCGGACGCGTGCCTCCAAAGAAGACATACATCAAACAGTGGCGAAGCGTCCCTGCGTGCCTATAGCCCTACCACAATGTTCTAACAACCTTTTTGTGGTTTCCACGACATGTTCTTAGAACATTTCTGGCTGGGACTGTCTTGTGTTCACACATCTGGTTCATGTTGTAAGAACATCGTTTTTGTTATGAGAACATGTTTGGGTTCTTTGTAGGACTATGAGAATGCGGGGACGGTCGGTCCCTGCTCAAATACAGTCTCAGTATTAGTACGTCCCTGCGCGTCCCATAGTTGCCCATTTTGAGCAAGCGATGAGGGCGTGCACAGTCAGACCCCACAGCAGGACCAGCAGCTTGTCAATAGGACCAGCAGCTTGTCAGGATGTACCCCTGCATCCTTGCCTCTTCTGCCAGTTGTTCGCCGACTCAGGCAAGCTCCAACTTGGGAGCTTGCATCCTCATCGTGGGTCCAAGCCGCTCACACTTGTAGTACATCCAAGCGGACGCGCACCAAGGTGCCGGTAATTGGAGCGGCGGGTACTTGGAGCGGGGGGGGCTCTCATCGGGTTTGATTTTGCCCGTCGGCGAAAAGCATGTCCGTATCCGCGGCCTCGCGCTTACAGTTGGGGCCTTGAAGAAAGAACCCTTCTCGTTGGGGAGGGGCTCGGTGTTCCTTGATTGTTTCATCGTTTGCCTCAGGTTTTCCTTAGGTTTTCGAAGGGAAATCGAAGTTCAACTTCTGGAGAAAAGGGGCCTCGTTCCTTATTCAGGGTTCATTAGGTCAGCGCCCCGACTGTACGGCGTACGGTTGTTCGCTCATTCGTTCCTATTCGCGGCCTCGCGGTCCGGGCCCCAGGGCCGTGACCCCACGGATAAGGGGCATCGTTTATCGAACATGCCCAGGACGCTCCAGACCAGGGAGCCTGAAGAGGGCGGCGGCGATACCCCTGGCAAATCCACGATTGGAGTTCCATGACCTTGGATTCTTTATCCACAGGTTCTCTATCCAAGGCCCTCACCGTACGGCCGGACCGAGGTATAAGATCGAGGCTGGTTCGGGGAGGGTACCCCCATGTTTTTCATGTTTGTTGGGTGTTCTTTTGCATCCAGGGGGAGGGTACCCTCGAATGTTCTTCATGTTGGCCAGCGGAGAATCTCATCTTTTTGAAGGGTGGTCTTCGGTTCTACAATCAACCCACATAGTAAGGATGGGCAACATGTCCAAGGTACCCTTGCAGCCTTGCCTCCTCGTCCATCCTAGGCCACTTTCGCTGGCCGCGCCCCGCTCGAAAAGCCTTGATACGGGCGTCCAAGGCCCTTGCAACTTTATCGCGCGTCCTTGTGATACCTGCCGACTGCAGTTCCGGCCGTGACTGGGACGGGGGGGTGATTGACATCAGGTTTGGCTCGATCGGGAAGGCCCCTTGGTCTTGGGGCGAGTCCTGTGGCAAAGCCAGGGCTCGCCCAGTGAGGGCGGCGTGGAGGCGCGGATGCCGCGGCCGCGGTTCTGTTCGACCGACGCTTAGCGCAGCCCAGGTTTGGCTGTGCACCGGTCCTGGGCCAAAGGCGGGCGTGGCCAGGGCCGGGCTGCCCGCACGTCGGAGGGGGGAGAAGCGACACCAACACCAGGGGGGCCACCTCCAGCGAGGAGGTCCACGGTGCCTCCCCGAGCTGGAGGCTGGGGAGGTCTCGAGCGCTGCTCGCCCTGCTGGTGTTGGTGCTGGTGCCGCCCGTCCCTGTCCCCAGCACGGCTGCCGTCGCCCCGGCGAGGCCTCGACGGCGTGGGCAGGGCGGCTCGAGCCACGGAGGCGAGGCTGGACGAGGGCCTCCGGGCGCTGCAGGAGGCGCAGGAGCGGGCGCAGAGTGAGCTGCGCGCCAGGTGGTGGCGGCGCGACGAAGCGGCGCGAGGAGGAGGAGGAGGAGGAGGAGGTGGAGTCTCGTCTCGTCTCGAACCCATTCAAGCAACGATCCATGCCTGGTCATATGTGCTCTGGGTTGGGGCGGTGGCCATTGCCTCGCCCCTCTCTCGCTCCACATCGTTCTGGAGCCTGCCGTGCCGATGAAACGGAGGCACGGGCGGATGCGCCCCTGTTGGCGCCCGCACGGGGGGCGCACGTGTGAGGCGCCCATCAAGTGGGAGTGATCTGGAGGACTGTTGCTCGCAGCACCAAGCAGCGCTAATATATATCCTAAGGTGAGTGCATTTCGCGGGCGACGTCCTCTTCGGCTTCGAAGGGGTCGGGTTCCTGAGTGCCAGGGTCGGGAGCGTTCTGACTCGCCGAGTGCGAGGCGGGTCCAAACAGGCGGCGAGGAGGAGGGGGAGGAGGTCCAGGGTCCCTGGCAGGAGCGGAGACGCTCTCAAGGCCTGGCGGCGGGCGTACACTATGATACGTGACTGCTGCATCGCGTGTTCTACCTACTTCTGGCGGCCCTTGCCCTTGCCGCCGCCGAGCTTCCTGGCCATGTTGCCGCGCGGCGCCTTGTTGACTAGGTGGCGGCCGCCCGCCGCGCGCATCTGCTCGGCGAGCAGCAGGTTGATGTCCATCAGGTAGCCTGGCATGTTGAGGATCGTCGTGGGCATCTCCGTGGGGCTCACCTGCTTGATCGTGTCGTCTCCGCCCTCGATGGCCGCCATGAGCTTCTCGTGGTCTGCCACCTGCGTGGCCATGAGGATCTGGCCTTTGAGGTTGAAAGTAAGGCGTGACTTCTGCGTCTTGCCAGGCTGGTCGAATGTGGGGCTCGCGACCATCTCGGTGATCCACGTCTGTGCAATGGTCGGGCCGCCGTGCTCGATCATCTTCATCAGGCGGGCGATGCACATCCCGCAGGCGGCCCGACGCTGTGAGGTGTCCTTGTAGTTGTAGCTGTGCAAAGCGTCTAGAACTGCGAAAGCACTCTGGCACGCTGGCGTGCCACGATCCTCCTCCGGGTGGTTCTTCTTGTCTGTGAGAAACCGCTGGAACGCCGCGTTGCTCTCCACGATGCACGGGTGGTTGCGATCCAGCAGCACGCTGACGAACCCCATGTGCTCGACCGCGCGCATCCTGGCCTCGAGCTGGTACACCAGGCTGCGAAGTGGGCCTGGCTCGTGCTCGTCCTCGTCCTCGTGGAGGAGGTGGAGGAGGAGGAGGAGGAAGAGGAAGAGGAAGAGGAGGAGGAGGAGGAGGAGGAGGAGGAGGAGGAGGAGGTGGAAGAAGAGGACGAGGGCGACAAGGACGAGGAGGGGACGAGGAGGGGGAAAACGGCGACAAAGGCGACTACGGATACATCACCAAGCCTTTCACATTGGAGTCACTACTTTCAGACCCAGGTCCGGACGAGACAATTGACGAGACAGTCGGCATGATACAGTCTATCACAACGAAGATGGCAACATCTGCACTTTTACATACTTCCGCAGGCCGAACGATTTTCCTCTTGAGCCCAACATGTCAGAAGCGACGCGCCGTTCAGGTGAGCACAACCACATGTTATGGGAAAAGTGAAGGGAGGTGGCCGGGCCCGCTGTGGCGCTCGAGCTTCCGATGTGGACACTTTGCTTGTGTGTCCTGGCCCTCCCTCATCCCTTCCTCTCCTCCTCCTCCTCCCACTGCCCCCCTCCTCCTCCCGCCTCCTCCCTCCTCATCCTTCATCCTTCGTCCGTCCGCCTCCCTCCTCTCTCCTTCCTCCTCCCTCATCCTCCCTCACCTTTTCCTTCCTCCTCCCCCCGTCTCTTCCCTGATTATTCCTCCTCTCCCCCCCCTTGCGTCCCCTCTGTTCTCCTCCCACCTCCTCTTACCTCCTCCCTCGTCCTTCCCCTCTTCATCTTGGGAAGACATCCCTCCCCCGTAGAATCACAACATTGGTCTGCAGATCCACAGTTCCGTGGAAAGCATGATGCTTCACTTGCGGTGCTCCGCGGATCCAATTTCCCCTGAGTCCCAGATGTTAATTCTTATTATATATTTGTTCCCGGGAAATAAATGGATCCATCGTTTTTCACATACAGGCAATTGGATCCGCGCAGCACATAAATAGGATCCGCGAAACTCTCCCACACCCGAACAGGGATCGATTTGGACCCTTTGATATTGTCAATTTTTTAGTCCAAGAGGAAACATCTTTCGGGCTGGGGATGCAGGGTTTAGCGCCCTTCTCGCACTTCCGCGCAGGGGTGTTGGCGGGGGAGGCGCAGTTCTTAATCCCACGCAGGGCTGTTGGCGGGGGAGACGCACTTCGAAATCCCACTGAGGATTGAACGCCCCTCTCGCACTTCCACGCAGGGGCGTTGGCGGGGGAGACGCAGTCCGAAATCCCACTGAAAGGTTTAGCACCCATCTCGCACTCCCACGCAATGGTGTTGGCGGGGGAGACGCAGTTCGAAATCCCATGCAGGATTTAGCACCCTTCTCGTTCTTCCACGCAGGGGTGTTGGCGGGGGGGGGCGCAGTTCGAAATCCCACGCAGGGGTGTTGGCGGGGGAGACGCAGTTGGAAATCCCACTAAGGATTGAACGCCCCTCTCGCACTTCCACGCAGGGGCGTTGGCGGGGGAGACGCAGTCCGAAATCCCACTGAAAGGTTTAGCACCCATCTCGCACTCCCACGCAATGGTGTTGGCGGGGGAGACGCAGTTCGAAATCCCATGCAGGATTTAGCACCCTTCTCGTTCTTCCACGCAGGGGTGTTGGCGGGGGGGGGCGCAGTTCGAAATCCCACGCAGGGGTGTTGGCGGGGGAGACGCAGTTGGAAATCCCACTAAGGATTGAACGCCCCTCTCGCACTTCCACGCAGGGGCGTTGGCGGGGGAGACGCAGTCCGAAATCCCACTGAAAGGTTTAGCACCCATCTCGCACTCCCACGCAATGGTGTTGGCGGGGGAGACGCAGTTCGAAAACCCGTGCAGGATTTAGCACCCTTCTCGCATTTCCACGCAGGGGTGTTGGTGGGGGAGGCGCAGTTCGAAATCCCACGCAAAGGCGTTGGCGGGGGAGACGCAGTTCGAAATCCCACTAAGGATTGAACACCCCTCTCGCACTTCCACGCAGGGGCGCTGGCGGGGGAGACACAGTCCGAAATCCCACTGAAAAGGTTTAGCACCCATCTCGCACTCCCACGCAGTGGTGTTGGCGGGGGAGACGCAGTTCGAAACCCCGTGCAGGATTTAGCACCCTTCTCGCACTTCCACGCGGGGGTGTTGGCGGGGGAGGCGCATCTCGAAATCCCACGCAGGGGTGTTGGCGGGGGAGACGCAGTTCGAAATCCAACTAAGGATTGAACACCCCTCACGAACTTCCACGCGGGGGCGTTGGCGGGGGAGACGCAGTCCAAAATCCCACTGAAAAGGTTTAGCACCCATCTCGCACTCCCACGCAGTGGTGTTGGCGGGGGAGACGCAGTTCGAAATCCCATGCAGGATTTAGCATCCTTCTCGTTCTTCCACGCAGGGGTGTTGGCGGGGGGGGGCGCAGTTCGAAATCCCACGCAGGGGTGTTGGCGGGGGAGACGCAGTTCGAAATCCCACTAAGGATTGAACGCCCCTCTCGCACTTCCACGCAGGGGCGTTGGCGGGGGGGACGCAGTCCGAAATCCCACTGAAAGGTTTAGCGCCCATCTCGCACTCCCACGCAATGGTGTTGGCGGGGGAGACGCAGTTCGAAATCACATTTCCGCAGGCCGAAAGATATTCCTCTTGAGCCCAACATGTTGGAAGCGACGCGCCGTTCAGGTGAGCACAACCACATGTTATGGGAAAAGTGAAGGGACGTGGCCGGGCCCGCTGTGGCGCTCGAGCTTCCGATGTGGACACTTTGCTTGTGTGTCCTCGCCCTCCCTCATCCATTCCTCTCCTCCTCCTCCTTCTCCCACTTCCCCCCTCCTCCTCCCGCCTCCTCCGTCCTCCTCCTTTTTCCTTCGTCCGTCCGCCTCCCTCCTCTCTACTTCCTCCTCCCTCATCCTCCTTTTCCTTTTCCTTCCTCCTCCCCCCTTCTCTTCCCTGATTATTCCTCCTCCTTCCCCCCTTGCGTCCCCTCTGTTCTCCTCCCACCTCCTCTTACCTTTTCCCTCGTCCTTCCCCTCTTCATCGTGGGAAGACCCCCCCTTCCCCCGTAGAGTCATAACATTGGTCCGCAGATCCACAGTTCCGTGGATAGCATGGTGCTTCACTCGCGGTGCTCCGCGGATCCAATTTCGCCTGGTTCCCGGATGTTAATTGTTATTGTATATTTGTTTCCGGGAAATACATGGATCCATCGCTTTTCACACACAGGCAGTTGGATCCGCGCAACACAGAAATAAGATCCACAAAATTCCCCCACACCCGAACAGGGATCCAATTGGACCCTTTGATGTTGTCGTATTTTTAGTCCAAGAGGAACGAACTTTTGGCCTGGGGATGTATCCAAACAACCACATGCTGATGAACACGTGGCACAGGTACTTCGACATACATATCAAACCGCGTCATCAGCAACTCCTACCCGTACTTACTTCCGGACCCACCGGTTTTGGCCAGGCATGGCTACTACACCAATGTCGCGCTACCAACTCCCACCCACGGAGCCAGCCGCATACTTGGTACTCAAAGAAGCCAGTCACGTTGACACGGACTTATCACTGCATTTCCCAAACCGTTAGATGCACCAAAGCAAATACTGGGCACGCCATTGGACGACATGGCGCTTCTGTACACGCGAGACGATGATTTCAGACTGGCGGTCACGCCTTTCAGCCAGTAACTTTGCAATACAATGCAGACGAACACTAGTGCAGCTGATGCGCGTACTACCCAAGTATTAACTGCAGTCTCGGGATGGATCCACCCCTGCCAGACGGGCGACTGGGCGGTTAACCTACACGGGACGGCAGAACTATTATGGCCCACCTTTGTCGGAATTATTGG